GGAGTCAATATTTACACTTACAATTGAAATATGCATTATGTAATTATAAAAAATACATAGTTTTCTAAAACGAGCACTATGTATTCACAGAAAGACTACGTATACTTAGTAATATTCTTATTCAAATCGTTACAGCGTTCACTTTGAAGTGTATTCAATGTATTTTAATATAAGGCCAAAATAAAAACTTATGTTGTCCTCAGTCGGAAAATTGAAAAATTGGGTCGATCGGTCGCATTTTTTTAAACTCGTGAAAACTAAGGGCATTGTAAATAGCCATGGTATATGGGAATCAATCAAACGCATGCTAGATATTAAACACAAGAATCAAAGTGTTTCTTTCAGTCTTTTGTATTTAAATACAGATCAACCCGAAGTTCAAACTAATTTGTGCAGAACGTGACTAGTATTTGTTTGTAAATGACTGAAAGTCAGCGCGCATGCGTAAAGGCGTTCCATCAAAAGAATATTAACTGTACGCTACACGAACTGCGCATCTAGTCTACGATGAATCGCAATCCAAAATTATAGTCATTTATATACAGTGTCACAAACAGTAACATATTCTCATTCATTGCAAACTGATCTCATAGTCCGAGTTGCAAACAACGAAACAACCATAGAGGGCGATGTTACTAGAAACAATTAATATGACGCATTTGGTCGTCACAGGTATCTATCTACCGTGGTACTTATAAGTTTACTATTGAACATCAAAGTTTGATATTAGTGTGAACACTTGAAAAATTGAGAACATTAAACTGCTTAAATGGGCTTCCGTAAATATGACATTGATATTATCATGGATATAATGGAAAACTATTATTACATTTGATATTCAAGAAATTCGAAAACTTGCGTCACAAGATAAAATTTAGTTATTTATATTTTTTCAAATAAAATATTATTTTTCTGCAAATTATCACAAATATTCAACGAAAATATTTTGTATAACACAGGTATATTCGACTCAGAGGGCGCTATTTTGATGATATGCAAGTAATTGTGTCCATGAAAAGTAAGGTAAAACTGTACTACCTGTAATGTTAGTCGAGGTTGAAAATTGTAGAATAAAACACTAGAAACCTATAGGTCAAAACGATTTTTGGTTTAAATTTTGGTCTAAATTTGTGTTTTCCTGTAATGTGGTGTCTGTTTTTACATTCGGGCAATAAAATCTTTAGAATGCGTAAATTTATAAACGAATCCTGAACATTTATTGTTCATTTATACCGCATCTACAAATCACCGAAAAAGGTGAAGAGATCTGACGAGTGCCTATCGAGTAGTACTCTTTGATTTAATGAGTTTGCTCTATGATATTGAATTGCTTGCAATTGAATTAACTCGTGTGCACAACACAATATAAGCCTAGTGCGTATAAGATAATGGCATTAATTTAATTACCTCGTAAGACTTAAGTATACACTTGTTTCGAAACGCACACGTGGGAAATATGAATACTAGTTTGAGTGAATACAAATTTTAATGAGATGCTGAAAATGCCGAAATTTACATTTATATGTTAAACATAACGTTTCGATGTACGAAATTATTTGAGGTTTGAGTACAGTGTTGTCATCACTTGGCTACAAGCACTGGGTGTCCGTAGTCGGGACCGTAGGGTTTCATTTCAATCGCCAACATT